CCCGGGCTGGGGATTCGAACCCGCCACCTTAGGTGTATGTGGCTGGCACCTTAGCCGCTTGAGCCACAGGCGCCGAGCCCCCAAATAACTTCAATTAGATTTTACTGTTTCATATCACAGTGGCGGAAACTAAGGCTTAGTCATAGGTTCCTGAGATCCAGGGCCAGGCCAATACAGAGTCACCATTCAAACATCCTGTGTCTACCTTCAGGGCCTAAGTTCCTAAAACCAATTAAAACAGTTTGTTTTTTTTTTCCCCCAGCAGAAATGGCCTTTATTGGTTGCAATGCAGTCTAAAAGGAGGAGATAGGACACAAAGGATGCTCTTGTGGCAAGAGGATCGCTTGAGCCCAAGAGTTTGAGGTTGCTACAAGCTATAACACCATGGTACTCTACCCAGGATAACAAGAGTGAGACTCAGTATTAAAAAAAAAAAGGCAAGCAAACAAACAAACAAAAAAACAAACCCCAAAACAATCACAAAATTTTGGCTGACAGTCTAGAGAGGGACTCAAGAATCTAAATTTTTAACAAATACCCATGAAGCTCTGATACTGGAATTATGAACTCAACTTTGAGAAACACTAGAACAGATACGTTTGAGAAGGAGTGGGCTACAGCTAAATGACTAACCTAAGAAAGATCTGAGGTTTCTTTGTACCAGGCACCATGAGTGTTTTACATAATCTCAATTAACCTATAACATCATGCAGGTTTTCTCATTAATGTGCTAAATAAAATCATTAATATCTATTTATTTTATATCAGTCAGTGGGAGGGGCATTATTTCACCCTTTTTGAAATGATCCTTTAACAATTTAACAAGTTTCAGGAATCTTGGGGTATAGTGGAGACCATTAGAAGAGAGGAATATGCCCCAATTTATAAGTACTACACCTAAAATCCAGTGACGCAAGCATCTTGGGCTTGGCTTCTATACCTTAAGATATCAAATAACAAACTTAAAAAAGTCTAATCTAGAATCTAGGGCAGCACCTGTGGCTCAGTGAGTGGGGCGCTGGCCCCATGTACCAGAGGTGGCGGGTTCAAACCTGGCCTGGCCAAAAACTGCAAAAACAAAAAAAGTCTAATCTAAAATTCCTTATGAAGGCTTCCAGGAAATCAAAGTCACATAGACCTACTGAGTGGATTAACACTATAGTTGGGGCTATGTAAATAATCAAGCTAAACCTAATGAGATTTTGGGGGGTTTTTTTGATACAGAGACTCATTTTGTTGCCCTGGTAGAAATGCCATGGCTTCCTACCCTACAGCAACCTCTTGGGCTTGCGCAATCCTCTTGTCTCAGCCTCCCAAGTAGCCGAGACTACAAATGCCAGGCGTGGCTGGTTTTTCTATTTTTAGTAGACAGGGTCTTGCTTTTGTTCAGGCTGGTCTCAAACTCCGGAGCTCAGGTAATCCACCAGACTCAGCCTCCCAGAGTGCTAGTTTTATAGGCATGAGCCACCACACCTGGCCTAATGAGAGCATTCTTATTTATTTATTTTTTGAGGCAGAGTTTTAGTTTATTGCCTTCAGTAGAGTGCCACAGTGTTATAATTCATAGCAATCTCAAACTCTTGGGCTCAGTCGATCCTCTTGCCTCAGCCTCCTGAGTAGCTGGGACTATAGGCAGCCACCATAACACCTAGTTATTTTTAGAGATGAGTTCTTGCTTTTACTCAAGCTGGTCTCAAACTCCTAAGCTCAGGCAACCCACCCTCCTCAGCCTCTCAGAGAGCTAGGATTATAGGAGTGAGCCACATTGCCCAGCTAGGGAGAGCACATTCTTATTTTATGATAAAGATATCAAAACTATCTTTCATTGGCTCTATGTCCATATTCCAGTGGTTAGGGCACTGGCCACATGCACTGGGGCTGGTGGGTTCAAACCCAGCCAGGGCCTGCTAAAACAACAATGACAACAATAACAAAAAAATAGCCAGGCATTGTAGCAGGTGCTTGTAGTCCCAGCTATTTGGGAGGCTGAGGCAAGAGAATCACTTAAGGCTCGGTGCCTGTGGCTCAAGTGGCTAAGGCGCCAGCCAAATA